CCCTGGCACCACATGTCACATTCTGAGCAGGCAACAGAGTCTGGGTGTGGTGGTGCGTGACTGTAATACCCAGCACTGGGGAGGCTGAAAATAGGAGGATCACTACGGGTTTGAGCTGCACAGTGAGATTGTGCACGTAGACACACACACACACACACAAACACACACACACACACACACACACACACAGACAAACACGTACACACAGAAGTTTATGGTCTCATATCTGCATTGGTAGGACCATAACTGCTTTCTGACATCTTCAGGACTGAATCTGCTTGCTGTTTTCAGCTTGTGGAATTTCCCAGCTGTCCTTCCCTTTCCTGGGCTCATGGTGTCCTTGCAGTCACTTAGCTGTCTTCTACCCTAGTGTCTCCTCTTGGTTCAAGATTTTGCATTTAGATAAGAATTAGGTCTCATCCTAGTGACCTCATTTTAACTTGATTGCCTCTGTCAAAGTTGTTTCCAGTGAGAAGTTCATATTCTGAGACACTAGAGGTTAAGATCTCAGCGTCTCTTTCTGGTAGAATACAGCTCAATCCATAATAGGTTATTGCCTTATATGAATGATTTTTAGATATCTATGTCCATATCAACTTGCTATTTCTACACAAATGTTCCATAATAGAAACCATTCAGTCGTTGACCTAAAACAGAAATCGTGTATTGCATAGATATGTTGCCAGTCACATTTCTTCCTGCAAGGGGGTGGACTTTTGTGTTCAAGGGGGGACTAAACAGACACGAGAGGGCATGTGTGTGCATGAGAGGACCCTTCAATTTTTGTCTTGGAGCTGCTGCATTGTTGTTTTGCTTCATTCTGTTGTCCAGGAAAATATTAGGCAATACCCAAAGGGCTGGAGAAAAGTACCATTTGGTAGAAATACAGAGGCATGTAGTCAGTTGATACGCATGGGTGGACAAGGAGGGTTGCATCAACCACAGTGACCCTGCTCATGTCTGCTTGGCCTCTGAAATATGTGCCTAGAAGACACATTTATGAGAGGAATCTGTCCTATGATATGTGCACTTTAAAGTGTGTAAGAGAAGCATAATGTTTTCCTAAGTAGTGTTTTATGCTCCAAGCCTTGGGTGTAAGAGCTGCCTTTCCTTGGAACTCAGCCCTGGCTGCAGACCACCTTTATATCTTGCTCAATTCAGTGTATGTTAAGGAATATCTCCTGGATGTTTTATGTGCATATTTCTGATTATTAGTAATGTTGTGTTTCAGATTGTGCAGATAACTTACATTTCCTTGTGTGAAATCCCTTTGCTAATTTCTACGTTGACTTCTTACTGATTTCTTGCATCCTTTTTACAATCTAGAGGCAAATTATCTGTTATTAATGGTTTTAAAACCTTTCTCACTTGGTTTCCCCTTCAAACTTTTTAGGGTTTTTGGATAAAGAGAATTTCTTTTTTTTTTTTTTAAATTTTTTTATTTTTATTTATTT